TACAATGTAACACCCAATTGTTCACTATTTATGTTATGAGTCCCATGTAATAGGGGGTGAGCCTATTGCCATATACCGGGCACATGTCCAGACTCCGTGCTGCTACTGAGATTTTTCAAAACCCAGTAATACTTTGCCCGACCCGGGAATCGAACCCGAGACCTCTTGCCCGGCAGTCGCACTTGCGACCACTCGGCCAACGAGGCAGTCAGTTTATTTCTTTATTACCTACTTTTATACTCTTTATCTACGCAACCACTCTTACAATTTTGCATATAATTATGTCTACGGAGAAGGACAAATAAGCTATTAAAAATAATGACCCAGGCAAAGCCCTGCAGCTTTTCCTGTGCGCAAGGTAATTGAATGTAACCTAACGTGAATTTTTTTAGGGTCATGGCGATCCGAATGAAGGGTCATGGCGATCCGAATGATCCGCGGATACCGCACGATCTCTGGGGAGTCGGCGAACCTCCTTGCCGGATTACCGCCGTGGGATCTGGAGGCGAAGGTGCTCGCGCGCGTGTATAACATGCGCGCGGAGGCACGTCGCCGGGGCAAACTCCCGCTGCCGCGCCAGATAAGTGCGTGGCGGGATGAGCTCCGGCGCGATCTCATGGCGGAATGGCAGCAACGACTGTCGCAACCGGGGCTGGGCTCGCTGCCATTGCAGCGGTAAGTCCCCTCTTTGAGGAGTGGCTTGAGAGACGCTACGGCGTCCTCACCTACCGCCTGACGCAGGTCCTCACCGGACATGGAAGTTTCGGGAGGTACCTGTGTCTGATGGGGCGGGAGGAAACGCCCGGGTGTCATCACTGCGAGGACCGCCCTGAGGACACGGTGGAACACACAGTGGGAGAATGCCCTGCGTGGGCTGAGCACCGCCGTGCCCTCAGGGAAGTGATCGGCGATGGCGACCTCTCGCGTCCGGGCCTAGTGCAGGCCATGATGCGGAGCGAGGGGGAATGGGATGCCGTCTCCTCCTTTTGCGAAGCAGTCATGCTAGCTAAGGAGGAGGCGGGACGCGTGAGGCAGCGAAGCGCTGCCTCCTCGCAACCCAGCCATCGCGAAGGACACACCGGGCGTCGGGGATCGCGGGACGATCTCCGGCCACCGTAAGCGCGGGCCTGCGGACGGCGAGCATGGGTGGCTCCCAGTCCGACCAGAAACAGACCCGAGCGTACGGCGCGTCGCGTTCCGCGCGCGCCTCAAAGAGCCATCAGACCACCACAGATGGGGCCCAATAGGGCCGATGCCGATTCGGAGTCGCGGAGAACCTAACGGGTAACCGGGGCTCCGGCTCGACGTGCAGGAGAAGGAACGGGGTGGTTTTTAGTCAGTAAGAGTCTGACACTCCCTTCCGCCTCACCCAGGCGGGAGCAGACATTCGATGATTTTCCACGCTTAAAAACAAAAAAAAAATATATATTGCATAATGTTGAACCTTGAATTATAATAGAGCAAATAATTATACTTATAACAAATACGATTCGAAATAAGTAGTTAATTTTTTCCTCGAGTTCCTCGCCAAATAATTACTTCAGTAATCCGAATAGCATAATAATATTTAATTTGAATTACTCTTGAATACTGAATACGTAATTATTTTTAATTATACCTGTACCTGATATAACAAGTTATAGTAGACATTTAAAATAAACTAATGTGTGGGAGAGCCATGCTTCGGCACGAATAGGCCGGCTCGACCGGAATAGTACCACGGCCTCATAGAAAACCGACGTGAAACAACGCTTTTTTAACGTTGTGTTTCGTCGTGTGAGTTAAGTTACTGGAGGCCAAATTACACCCTCCCCAAACTCCCCAATCCCCGAATCTCCCACAATCCTCAAATTCCCAATACCCAAAAGGCTGGTGACGCATTTGTAACGCCTCTGGTGTTTCAGGTGTCTATGAGCGTCGCCGATAGATTATTACCATCAGATGATCCGTCTGCTCGTTTACCGGCTAATATACCATAAAAAAGAACCAAAATCGCTAAAACAGACACCATACCAAACAAAATTCGCTTCACACTCCACACAATAGAATTATTTACTCTGACACGACTCTCTAATTTCAATGTAGCTCCCATCAACTGGCTGACGTCACAGACCATGTCACTGCCCTAATTTACGCACACATACACATGATTAATGGAAAATCGACGCAACTTGACAATGCTGATGATCGTAATGAATCAAAGTCGAAATTTCGAGTGATCTTTATATTTAGATCTGAATTTTGTATTTGATTATAATGTGTTTATACGTAATGTTATAGAGACGATAGATTCGAATTCGTTTTTCAATAACTCTACTCTTTTTGTGGGTAGAGAGAGAGAGAGCCGATTTCAAACATATACATATAAAGAAATTATAAGCCTAGTTTTTCCCTTACCGTATAACACTGGTGTCTAAATAATCTTATAATTATAAATTACATAATAATTTGGTAGAAGTCACATTGGCACTAACTGGTTTCGTACCGGCTTCGAGTGCATGTCAGTGCATGCATGAGACGTGCCATCTTAAATCTCCAACAACCACGACATTTACAAAAACACTCTAAATAACTATTCAAGTATTCATTTTTATAACAAAAGAACAATAAATCTCAATTTTAAAACGAAGGGATGCCATCTAACACTTACAATCCCATGGGAACAATGATACCTACCTTCAGACCTCTTTCCGAACCTTTTTTTTTACAAATCCTAAAAGTTTTTAATGTCCAAAATCGAGTTCCAGTTTCCAGTCTGTCCCAGAGCGACTGTCTAACGCAATGTAAGTGGTTTCAGTCGTTTGGGAATCCAATTTTCAGCAAATGGTTTTGATTTTGACTCAAAAGGGATTAGGAAGGCAATTGATCGCCTTGTTAGTTTGTTAGAGGGAATGTAGAATATGGAGGCGTAAATTCAATTTCTGGGTCATTACAGTACATGATACCTTATTAGGGAAAATACTAGAATAGCCCTAAACGTAGTAATTTACACTGGTTATTCGAATAAAATCACTTCGTGGTATTTTTTCTTTATGGCATAAGCTGGTAAACGAGTAGACGGATCATCTGATGGTAAGCAATCGGCACCGCCCATGGACTCCTGAAACACCAAGGTGTTACAAGTGCGTTACCAGCCTTTTGGGTATTGGGAATTTGGGGATAGTGGAGGATTCGGCGATTGGGGAGACTGGGGAGGGAGGAGGGGTATTAATTGGGCCTACAATAACCTCACTCACACGACGAAGCACAACGCAAGCGTTGCTTCACGTCGGTTTTCTATGAGGCCGTGGTATCACTCGTGGTATAATAATCTTGAAAATTTTTGTTGGGGGGTTTGCTTGTAAATTTCGTTAATCTAATTCCTTGTCTGTATTCACGCGCCCTGCTGTACCAAGTTGAATATGCTGCAGGCTTCTGCCCCGTTATCTTATAGTTTAAACCAAGCCAAATAGATGTTCATAAATTATATTAACCGACTTTGGGTTTTTTGAGCGATGTAATGTAATTCCCTCGGATTTCTTCTGGATTTCCGGATCTTTCAAGTTATTTATTTACTTCAAAAAATGATCTATCTAAACGCGACACCGTATCGATGTCCTACATTTTATTTCCTCTCAATTCTCCTTTATTTTGTAGCCGATATACAGGATGAAACCTTAAGATGTTACTCAACAAATCCAATTTATGTGGCTTTCACTCAAAAATGGATTTGTTAGAAACATCTTGTAACTTCGAAGGAGATTGCTTGAGTATCCGTTTTACCGGAACAAACACGGTCTTCGCTCATAGCGCTTTTGTTCTAAATTCCCTTATAGATAGAGTTTAAATAAATGTTCAATTGTTGTGAATATCCTCTCGCGTGTTTCACACAGGTGTACGAGAGAGTTAAGTGCCCATCACGCAATTGTACACACCAGTGTACGAGAAACGCGCACCGATTGGATATTTTTTTTTTGACGTATATTTTCAAGTTTGCAACCTGTTCTTTATTTGATTGAACAGAATAGTTAATTCGCTTTTCTATTATAATATTTACCCGTGTGTACGAGAACGCGCGTTTACCCGTGTGTACGAGAGGCGCGCGAGAGGATATACATTGATTTTATAACATAACATATAACATAATGTCTCGCCTTTTACTACCAGAAGGCGAAGATTATTTTTAACCGACTTCAAAAAAGGACGTTTTCAGTTCGACCCGTATGTAGTATATATGTATAATTGTGCACCATCATCACACGATTAGCTATATCGATTTTGACGCGATTTTCAGAAACGTGTTTGTTCTATTTAAGAAAAGGTTTTAGTATATTAACTCTTTGAGTACCGTCATTATAGACACAATTAAAGAACAATAGGTTGCGGTCACCGGTGTCCTCGCCGTGTTTGAAAGTTTAATTAACCGAGTTAAAAAAAAAGAATGGGTTGAAGTTGACTTTTTTTCGCATAACGTATTACTATTCCCAAAAAAACTGTGAAACAAATTGTTGCCTGCAACACATTCGAACTATTTGTAACCTTCTTTAAAGGCCGGCAACGCATTCTTTCGTCGCACCATATACAATTATACACTCATGACTTTTAACCTCTAGTGTGGATTGACACTAGTTACCTCGTCAAACAATAAGGCTCTAAACACACGAACCGCATTTCAACTGCGATCCAACTGCAAATTGCAGTTTGAAAGCAGTTGACACGACTGCAATAGAACTGCAATTGGGCTGCTAGTTTGGTTTACAACCGTTTGGTCATGACTGCAATAGAGCTGCAATCGGAGTACACGTTTGGTCTTCAGATCAATGGCAGTCGTAACACGACTGCATTCAAACTGCAATCTGCCATTGTTTGCAATTTAAATACGGTCCGTATGTCTAAACCTTACCCACGAGTAAACCGTGTAAAATAATTAATGAACCTTTTGTAGGTCAATTAGTCACCTGATCATAGGATCTAGATTTAAATGGAGATATCCAATCATAACTATTTTTTGGTACTTTCAGATTTGGACAGCACGGAGCAGAAGGTGTCTATAATGCTGAATGGTGAAGAATCGGAGCTTTACTTCGTTAACTGCACGACGACAAAGGTAAAAAGAAAAACATTTTTTTTTCGATTGCTCGCTTGACGCGGTAGCCATAGGCAACCGACTGTTGTATTCCTTATCGTAAGTCATATTCCCACATTGAAAATCTCTTTGCTTTTTATGACAAAAGAGGCTAAAGAACGGATGGCCTGATGTATTTTTTTTAAACGTTGCCCCCCCACATTAGGATTTTCTCCTGTGTCGTGGGTGCGTTTACAAACATACAATATCACATACACATGACACCCAGACCCAGAACAACAATTTGTGGATCACACAAAGTGTTGTTCCGTGCGGGAATCGAAGCCGCGACACGTTGCACGGCAGCCGGTTGCCCAGCCACCGCACCAACCGTGCAGTCAAAGTTGTCAGTCAAATGTTAAGCAAGTAATTAGCACCAGGTACACATATCACCAGAAGAAGAATATGAAGCTGTTTCATTGTAATATCCTTCTCAAACTATATAACTTGAACAGGAGGAGATCGAGCGCTCCGAGCCACCTGATGCCTTCGTGGTGATCTACTCCGTGGTGGACAAGGCTTCCTTCCAGAAAGCTGAACAGGAGCTGGCCAGGCTGCTCGACTGCGACATGCTTAGAGCACGACCAGCCATCCTGGTGGCTAACAAGATCGACCTGGCTAGAAGTCGAGCCGTTTCGACACAAGGTAAAATGTTTTTGTCGCCCTACATCTTATATATATATAAAAGAAAGTCGTGTTAGTTACACCACTTATAACTCAAGAACGCCTCAATTGATTTAGATGAAAATTGGCAGGGAGGTAGCTTAGAACCAGGAGACGGACATAGGATACTTTTTATAGAATACTTTTTTTTACTTTATACCGAAAATCACGAACGGGAACGGAGGGAAATTGGGATTGCGCGTACGAAGTCGCGGGCAGAAGCTAGTTACTTATAATTATATAAGTATAAATAATTATATAAGTCTTGAAACTAGCCGGGTTAAACAGTTCCGTTACTTGGATAAGATTTTTATTCAAATTCTCGAGCTATAAATGTATTTAGATTCCTTTTAATGGTTTTTGCATGGAATAATAACGAACATAAATAATTATACTCTCATAAACTTCGCATTTAAAATATTAGATAGGCTTAGAAAAAAAACTTATGACTGCCTCATTGGCCCAGTGATCACGAATGTGACTGCCGGCCAAGGGGTGTCGGCAATTTGGACCCGGTATATGGCAATAGGCTCACCCCCTATTACATGTAACTTGTAATATAATTAGTGAAAAGTGGGTGTTACATTGTACAGTAGCATTAAGTGCCGTAACGTGCATCTCTGCCTACCTCTTCGGTGATAAAATGTTATGTAAAAAAAATTCCATGTCCAGTACCCACGTAGACATTTTTTGTATAGGACAGTATCAACATAATTATGTTCCGTTATAACTGATTTCCCTTGAGACGGAGTGCTTCGTCTCATGATGACTTTATCCAAGTAATCTTATTATTTATACATTTCTGTACATTACTGATTGTATATAAGTAAGTCATTAACTTAATAAAAGCGAGCCTTCATTGGTCTAGTCAAATGTTATTAGTGGAATCTAATATAAACCTTTTTTATGACAATGGGAAACCTTCAAAAGGCGCCTATCTTTTTGGGGATAAAAGACTAGGGAGTGTGGGACTTTCAATTCACCAAAACCACCCTGGTGGCTACCGTAAACACCTGTGTGGAGGCACTGGGTCCTCTAAAAGAAACCTGCTCCAGAGCCTCCACAGTGCAACGCCTGTTATGACACATCCCTAGGGAGATCTGTGCGTACGGCGCATCGCCAACAGACCACCACGGATGGGGCCCAATAGAGCTCATGCCGATACGGAGTCGCGGAGAACCTAACGGGTTGCCAGGGCTCCGGCTCGAAGTGCAGGAGTAGGAACGGGGTGGATTTTAGTCAGGCGGGAGCAGTCATGCGATGATTTTCCCCGACAAAAAAAATCCCTAGGAAGACGGGTGTCTCCTTTAAGTCTCGCTGTGTACGGCGGCACGTGACCCCTGTGCCTCCGTCTTCCCTGAGACCACTAAGTGCCCAGAGTCCCCACTCAATGCACCCGTAGCCCTAAAACTTCGCCTGGACTTAATATAAACGTACATACTATGACGAATGAGCTACAATTATAGGGATACTACATTTAACCAGCGAATTTGCTCGTATGAGCCTGTTCTTCTCCATACTCTCAAATACAATGAATACAAAAGTTTTATGAGACTAAACAAATGTTCATGAGTAGATAATGAAGTAATAAGTCAACTCACTTTTGCGTTTGTAGTATTGTTTGAATGCCACCACATCTACACCTTTTTTCTTCCAATATTTTTCTACTTTTTTACAGTTTCTTGGACTTTAAAAGAGGGTATGACCACTAAGTTACTTTCAATGTTTCTTCTCGGATTCAATTAGGAAATGTCAAATACATCTAGTTTTATATTTATAGCGATATATAAAACTGCTACTTTGTAGTCATTCATTCAGCATTTCTGGCATAGATCCAGAAACCAATACGAATCCAATGAATTTCAAAAGACCTTTTTTAACCCACATAACAATTCTCCTACACAAAACACAACAAATATACTAAAAGTAACTGAACTACTGATGTAATTAAGGTGTTTTTATGCAATATATTTTTTATTATTTTATTTTTAACCAGTTACTTTTTTCAACAGACGGCAAATGCCTGGCGTGCACTTACAAAGCAAAATTCATAGAAGTCTCAGTCGGAATCAACCACAACGTAGACGAGCTTCTGGTTGGGATCCTCAACCAGATCCGGCTAAAAAAGCAGCAGTACACAGCTGAAGGTGGAAGGGAATCCTCGCCAGCTCACTGGTACAAATCCCGAGGAGTTGTTCGAGCCAGTATGAAGGCCAGACAAATGTTCACCTGGATTTTCGGCAAGGAAGACTCAAAATTCAAGAACTGTGAGAATCTTCATGTCCTGTGAGTGGAAAATGACGGACCAGTGTTCGTCTAAAGACATTGGGACTTCTGCGTGCGTTTGGAAGTGATAGTTCTGTGGATAAGGTTAGATATTGTTTGTTTGTACTTAAATGTTAAAATAACACGGCTAGTTATGACCACTGATGCAAATGTTCAATGTGACAAAACACATTATTATATAGGTAACGTTAACAACCCCGAAATTATCAAATCGGTACCATATATAACAGCCACGCTTTCGCGCGATTTTTCCCAGTCTATGGTCTATCAGATGACATAACTAACCGTGTTGCCAAACCAAAAAAATAAAATGCCAAATATAAAATTGGTATTAACTAGTTGTTATGTGCCAATTTTGAGAGAATTTAATAAATTTATGTAAGCATTATATTTAAGTTAGGTAACATATATACATAAGTGAGACGTACAGTATTTTCCCAAAATACTTTTAATATATCATTAAAATGACGTATCAGCAATATGTAAAGCGTAAGTGATATAATATATCATGTAGATAAAAAATATTGTAAAATAATAATATACTAATATTATTGGACCATGCGTACTTACATAATATTTAATTACTATAACAATTGTTACTTAGCATAATTATATTATACATAGAATAATATATTATACATAGTATCTGAAATACACCAATATACCTACTCGTGTAGTTCATCAAGATATATTAGTAATGTAATATTATTATGGCGTGTTTATAGTTCTGTCTTTCTGTACCCCTGCTGTCATTCACCCAAAAATAAATCTAAGAAAAAAAACATAACTGAAGGGTTGCCATTTAAAATTCGAAGATGTTTTTTTAATGAAATATCGATTCTAATATTAAATGATGCCTCCAACGTACTCTGAATTTAATTAGAAATTTCTACAAAATTGCGTATCTAATAAAAAAAATTACATCTAACTGAATTAACTTTTAATTAATTTGTGTTCAAATTCACATTGATCCAGGGTCCACATTATTCCTTCCATCCCCACCAAAACTGATTCATCCTAAGCAAAAATATTTATAACCCCTAAATTGTAAGAAAAAAGTTTCGACATTTAATAACAGTCGATTAATATACGAAATTGAATTAAAATGAAAACTGATACACAAAAAAATATAAAACAAATATAAAGTACTAATTGTAAAATATTTTGAATAAAAATAAACATTTAAACACTTTGACCCATAATAAAACCGGGTAAAGTGGGTAATATACTTTTTCCCGGGTAAGAAACTAAGTCTATCATAATCAGATTTGGCTGAACATATATATATTGTGGAAAACCTACCAAAATGGCAGCTTGTATACTTCCTTCAAAATACTATATATCCTTTGTATAAAATATATAATAGTTGTATAAAATGTACATTATAATAACCGATGCAAATGCACTTATGGATTTGATGTTGTATTCTATATTGTAAGTGAAATATATTATACATGTTTGTGTATTATCTGTAGTAGTTCTTGTATTCATTATACATATATAATAGTCCATTTAGCCACATGTATACACCGTGTTTGTTAAATTGCTGTCAGTTGAAGTTTCTCTAAAAAATAACGCACGAGCAGCAGAAAAAAGGTTTTATTCTTTAATTTTTTCTTCAATAATCAAGTACTGTAATACTGCAATAAGACTTAAAACCATACTGATTACTACTACATACATATATGGTATATCTATGTGATATACAATTAATAAAGAATTTGAATTATCCCTCAGCCTACCACTTTCATGAATTTCTATGTACTTTTTTTACCTTCTTATATTAAGTAAAAACGCGGGTTACTCACGTGAATATACTGAGAAAAGCTCTACTAGTTTCGAACCACAGAGGAGTTCTTCAGTGAGCTGCGCGACGTCGCCGCGACCGCGCACGCTGTTCATGAGGAAGAACCCCTCTGTGGTTCGAAACTAGTAGAGCTTTTCTCAGTATATTCACGTGAATAACCCGCGTTTTTACTTAATTTAGTATGTCTCACGATAGTTATTATAAAAACTTCTTGTATCGAAAAAAGTTCGTAGCATTAAGGGAAATTCTCACGGCAGCAATTTTATAATCACCTAGTTATTTTCAATAATGTCCACAATTTATTCATAAAGTCCCATTTATAAAAATATCGTTACTTATATCCTAAAACACCATGACTGAACGCCATAAAGTTGTTTACTACTCCTATTAATCTTTACATCTTTTGGATTACGATTGGAAACAGTGCCTTTTTATTATAAAAAAAATGTATTGTAACACCTTATGTGCTATTTTTACTAATAATTTGTGAAAAAAATATTATATAAACCTACCTTAGTAATTGATGTACTTCCCCTTATATTTATATATAAATTGTATTGAGATATATTCGTATTGTACCTCTATATGTGTCACTCGAGTTCGATTCGCGAGTATTTATGGGATTTTCGATTTTTGAAATTCTCAGCAATAGTATGAATATATCCGATGTCATAGCTATAAGCTCGTCTCGTGTTATATGGGGACTCATAATATAACTGGATAAATATAACATTCAATATATTAATTACATATAAGTATACTGTCTAACCTGCGGGTATTTACAAAGGGATATTATATTATAATGAGACACATCTTGTTTCGTAACAACATCATTTCGAACTGCATTTAATAATATTGACCGGTTGCTTCGCAAAATAACCAGCGACTATCCGGTTTCTATCAAAAATCTGCGTCAAACAAACTCATCCCGATACACAGCAGATGTGCTGTCAATGTAAATAAAACTTTATTAGTATTATATTATAGTGCATTTTGCAAAATGTATGAGCTTTCAATTTCTATTAGTGGGCCTAGACAAATTATGTTGTGTTGGTAAATTATTTTCTTTAAAGTTTATATGGACTACAGGAATGATTCGACTAACATAAGTACTTGTATATTAATTATAGATGATCATTTTTTATGTCTGTTCGTTAGACTAATATAAAACAATAGACATGTATTGTTTTCTTTTGTTACTAACTAAAAAAAATATTTTTGACTTGATCCTCGTCACGGTAAAATTTTAGATACGATATTATTCTCCAGCATTCATGTAAATATTGGTCGTATATAATTGTATATTGATTTGAAATTGGTAGCATGTGAATTTTTCTTTATTTTGTTACGAAGGTTTTTAGAGGTATACACGACAATATCACCCTCATGAGGATATGTGAAATCTTAATTAAACAGTTAATATTATATTAATCGATTATAATGATAAACTAATAATAATAAATAATAATAATAATAAATAAAAAATCTTTATTTACTAAAAACAAGCGAGTTACAATATTTGATTTTAGGTATAGGCATACAATTACAGCTTACAATTTATGAAATCGCTGCCTCCCAAACTAGGTGATCCTGTATTTTGGGGGTCAGTGTTCCCTCGTTGAGTATTACAAAATTATGAATGCTTATATTGCTAATAATTCTCTCAAATATTGTGTAAGTGACATAAAGATATAAAAAGAGAAAAAGAAAGTGAGTGTTACCAAAAGAGATAATTAAAGATGATGTATGTGGGTGTGTGTGTTAGTGTATGTGAAGGTGTGTGTGAGAGTGTGTATGTATGTATATGTTTGCTATCTATGTACTAACTTTACGCGTGAGTATTTAATTATTTAGACTAGTTTGTTTAACAATTGTTCTGTTTCATCATAGGTTAGTGTCTGAAGCCAACATGTGATTTTCGATTTTGCTTGCCTGCGTGTTAAGGAATAGATGTGATTGATTTTGTGTGCTTTGTTATAAAGACGTGAGCTCATTACAGTATATTGACGGCCGGCTGAGGCCGTTCTGTGTGGAATTGGTTCACAAATTGGTTTGGTTTTTCTGTTTTTCTGGGACCATTTTGGATCATATGGCAGCGAACTATGTTTCCTCATGATGGTGCAGAGAACATAGAGCTGTCTCACCGTGAGTACTCGACATTCTTTATACAGTTCGTTGGTAGGATACCTAAAAGGCTTCGAGGCCATTACTCTGAGAACAGCCCTCTGTGCTCTCTCCAGATCCAAGACTGCGACTTTGCCCGCACCACCCCAGGCTGTCACACAGTAAGACAGGAGCGATTGGCATAATGAAAAGTAAATCAATTTGAGAGTATCTTCGTCTGTTGATGATCGAAGTTTTTTGAAAATGTAAAATAAGCTTTCTTAACCGAGCTGTTAGTTTTTGAATATGTGTGTGCCACTTTAGCTGTGAATCTATTTCAACGCCTAGGTATTTAATATCTGTTGTTCTTTGGATAACTGCACAGTCACAATTTCCATTTTTAATGGTTGGGCTCTGCGTGCAAGTGTGTGCCGCGAGACAGTAAGTCAAGGGTGGCATTTGAGAGATTTTATTTGCAAAAGTGACGAATTTAGTTTTGTCTACGTTTAAAGTTAATAGACTGTCCTGCAACCAAAGCATCACAGTTCTTAAACTCGTCTCTGCGACTAATTTTGCTTCGGACCAATCTACACCTGATATTATTAAAGCAGTGTCATCCGCATAAGTAAATATTTCACAGTGACTAATAAATACATTACTAGCTTCTTGTTACTGGCTTCACCTACATTAATTTTGTAATTTTAATATAATTTTATGCCCTATTCAAGAGTTTTCCCCGTCTTTTACCATCAAGAGTGGAGCCAAGATCATGAAAATCAGTCCAGTCGTTCTGTTTTTGATATTTGAATTAATTCAAATGGCTTTAAACACTCAATAGAATCCTCAAGTACCTGTAAAAGACTTTAATTAAAATTTGACATGATTAATTTACCAGTTTGTTTATTATAAATGGTGTTCCAATTTCCTTGGTCATTGTGAACTTTGCCCGGATAATTTACCTATACAACATGTTGTAATGTGTAGGCCTTTAAGAATATTATCATTATTGTAACATACTGTAGTTAGAGTTTACTGTAAATAAAATGATTGACAATAAAATTTGATTACTTTAAGTTGTTCTACGTAATTTCCTT